GTCAATGTATACAGTGGAGATCCATGGCAAGAAATACCCTGCTTGCCTCCAGGGTGCCCTGGGTTTCTTGGGTCTCGAGGGTTTTGCGATGGAAAGCGTGACGTTCCTACGCCGAAAATCCATGGACGTCCTGGGGTCTCAGGGTTGGGTTTCTTGTGGAAGGTATCTTGTCGTCGGGCCCATATTGTACATATATATATAGACATACATGTATATATATATATATATATATATATGTGTTCCCTAGGTGGCCACACATAGCCACATCCACTGCCAGCTGAGGCTTCCGACGATTGATCTCCGCGGCAGTGGTGCCCAGGTTGGGGGTGCCGTCAAGCGGCAGGGCGGGGAGCGATGATCAAGATGGATTGGGCTCTCGGCTTGCATGTGGGCGTCGTCGTCCTCTTCGAGGTTCTTCTGTCGTCCTCCAAAACATTCCCATCGCCAGAATACTACTTTTTGCAATCGCTTTCCCCCTGTGTGAAGTTTTTCTGGATCGTCCTCCCACGTGATCTTCATGTCGGGGCCGCCCTTGGCCTTCTCGGGAGGAGGAGAGAGAAGGAAGAGGAGGACCCGGACAACGACGACGAAGTCGACGACGGCGGCGACGACAACGACGACGACGAAGACTGGGCCGCCCAGGACCTGCAGGTGAAGCCAGACGCCCTGGCGCTGCTCGGTTTCGACGACCGCGCCGCTGCGGCCCGCGGCTGGCTGCGGAGGGCGGCGGGGTGGTGGGACGAAGGAAGGAGGCGGCTGAAGGAGGAGGAGGAGGAGGAGGAGGCGGAAGGGGGGGGGAGGGGGAGGAGGGGGAGGATCACCAGCATCAGTGGGACGACGTGGAGGAGGCGGGGGAGCGAGAGTACGGAGAGTACGTATTGGTAGGATGAGGGACGTTTGAAGACAAGGTAATGGGAGGATATGTTGGACGATATGTTGTCGGCGACGGTGACGACGGGAGGATGGTGTCGTTGACGACGGCAATGATTTTGCTGATGATGCTCATGCTAATGCTGATGTTGCTGCCTTGGCTTACGCTGATGCTGTTGCTGATGCTGATGCTGACGTTGATGATGATGACTATTGCGATGGCGACGGTGGTGATGATGCTGATGATGATGATGCTGATGAGCATGATGAGGGCGATGATGCTGCTGCTGATGACGATGATGACGATACTGGTGATGATGATGATGCTGATGCTGCTGATGCTGCTGCTGATGCGGATGCTGAGGTTGATGCTGATGATGATGACGATGATGATGCTGCTGCTGATGCAGATGATGATGATCTGGCTACTGATGCTGCTGCTGATGATGATGCTGTTGGTGGTGATGATGATGCTGATGCTGATGCTGACGATGATGAGGCAATGGTATTGACTTGGGTACGAGTCGGTCCCAGCTTCCAGGTCATGAAGTTCACGAAGTCTGCCGAGTAGATGAGCTGACTTGGAAAGTCCAGCAGCGCCTTGTAGCTGTCTCGCTCGATGTCGCTTCGAAGGCCCCGGAACTGCATGGCCCCAGTTCCCGAGCGGCCAGGGCGGCGGAAGCGACGCAGCGATACGAAGAGCGGGTGATTCCTCCTCCCTTTCCTCCCTCTCATCTTCCTCCTTCTCCTTCTCTTTCTCCTCCTCCTCCTCCTTCTAAGGTTGAGGAGGCGCCAGCGACGTCGGGTCGGCCCGCAGAGTCGGTTCGGATTCGAAGGGGATGCCATGCCGCCATGATTGTCTCGACCCTCCGCTGCGCTCCGACTGCAATAGTGATTGGCGAGAGAATGACCATCCACACGCGAGTGTTTTTTTTCCACCGCGCTTTGCCCAAGGATCTGCGGATCAGGGATGGCAAGATCAAGCTGATCAAGTGCCCGCCCTCCCCCGTATGCGTTGGATCTGGGGAGCGAGGAACGAGGGGGGGAACGGGTGGTGCCGAGTGGGGAGAAACATGGGAGGGAGGATAATTAGGAGGAGACGGAACGAGGAGGAGGGGCATAATGAGAAGGAGGTGGGAGGGGGGAGAAGGAGGATACCTTTCTCACTCTCTCTCGCTCTCTCTTTTTCGTTCTTCTGTTTGCCCTCTCCCTCTCTCTCCCTCTTTTTTTGGTATTTCGTTCCATCTCTCTCTCTCTCTCGTTCGCTCTCTCCCTCTCTCTTTCTGTATATAGAAACCTGTACACGCGCACATGTCTCTCTTCCCCCCCTCTCGTTCTTGTTATCCCTCCCCCTCTCCCCTACTATCCGTTTCTTTCGCTCGCGTTCTCTACCCCTTTCTTCCCTCCCCCTATACCTATATAGATGTAGATCCAGATAAAACAGGGATGCCAGTTCTCCCCTCGGTTCTCCTTTCCTTTGCGATGGGCTTCCCCCGGGCCGCAAGGCTTGCCGTGCCATGGAGCAAGCTCTACACGGGGAAGGTGGAGATGGCGGTGGAGCAGCTCCACTTGGAGGTGAGTGACCCTTCCTGCGCTGTCTCGCGTTCGCGCTCGGGTGGCGTCGATTCTTTCCTGGAGGAGGAGGACGACGGCATTGAGATAGGTAGGGGTCGGTAAGGAGGGGGATGAGGGATGTGGAGGGAGAGGTGGGGGAGATGGAGGACGGGAAGAGGGGGATGAGGATGATGATGATGATGTGATGCTGTCATGATAATGCTGAGGATGCTGATGATGATGATGAGGATGATGCTGATGCTGTTGATTAAGATGACGATGATGATGGTGATGCTGAGGCTGATGATGATGCTGATGGTGATGCTCAAATTGATGACGGTGGTGATGGTGATGATAAAGCTGTTGATGATGATGACGATGATGTTGATGGTGATGATGCTGATGCTGATGCTTGTGATATTGATGTAACTGATGATGACGATGATGACGGCGACGATGACGATGATGATGATGCTTCTGCTGATGATGATAATGATTCTATTACTTATGATGCTGATGACGATGGTGATGGCGACGACGACGATGATGATGATGCTGATGATGCTGATTTTGGTGGTGGTGGTGATGGTGGTGGTGGTGGTGATGAGGATGATGGTAATGCTGATGCTGATGCTGATGACGGTGATGGTGGTGATGATGATGATGATGATGATGATGATGGTGGTGATGATGATGCGGATGATGCTGATGATGATGCTGATGATGATGATGATGATGATGATGATGATGGTGATGGTGGTGGTGGTGGTTGTGAGTAGGAGGAGGAGGAGGAGGAGGAGGAGGAGGAGGAGGAGGAGGAGAAACATCAGCAGGTCTACACTGAGCCCGCCCCCAGGCCCTTCACTTCAAGCCAAGTCTCGCGGTCGCGCTCGGCTGGCGTCAACGGATCGGTGTCAAGAGGCGCGAAGGAGAAGGAGGAGACGGAGGAGGAGGATGAGGAGGACCTGGGTACACCAGCTAGTCGTCAACTAAGTTGCACTGCGCTCTCCCGTCCCAGGCCACCCCCCATCAGACCCTGAAGGCCTCCCTTCATGCTTCAAGGCGCACCCCCTCTTCAACGACCGGCACCGTTAGGCCTGTCTTTCAGGCGAGAGCCTCGGTTCGCAGAGGTATAGCCGTGCACCATGCAGTTCAACGAGGCGTCCAGCGAGATTTCCGTGTTGAGCAAGCATCGCCGTATGCGTGTCACGTCGGCGCCGCTGGTATCGAGCGTCGACGAAGTCTCAAACGAGAGCCCCATGTCGACAACGAGCCGCCCTCCATCTGCAGCTGTACCATGTGTTCTTGCCAAGCTTCTGGCTTCGATCTGCCGCACTCTGAAGCGCAAGCCCGATGTTGAAAGGGAGCCGCTCTCCATCTGTGCAGCTGTTACGCATTCTCAAGCTTCTGGCCTTGCGAGATGAAGAAGTCCCCGGCGAGAACCTCAACTTTGGAGCGGCGCTGCTCGCCATCCCTGTCAACTGTTCTCATAGAGAAAGTCTGGGCTTTGCGCGAAGGCGGACACCCCTTTTTGGCCCCCCTTCGTCCTTGAAGCCGCCGCATTCTCGTGAGACAGATGTGCGTGGCGTTAGGTCGGGCACGCCCTTCTACAGGAGAAGAATTCACAAGAATAGTCAACAAAGTAGTCTGGCGAAGTTCTGCGTATCTTTCGATTATGCTTGAGCATCCTTTGACCAAAGTTTCATTCGTTGTCCAACATCCGCCTGTGGGAGGACATGCCCGTCCTAAGCGTGGCGCTACCCGTCGGTCGTGGAGAGTAGGTAACTTTGGGTGCCCGAGTCCCAATGTATGCTGGACGCCTTCTTACTCTGGGAGTCGTGCGGTGCTACTTTGGGCGGGCGGAAGCCCAACCTGCTTTCGGCGCCTCCTTGCTTTGTGTGTCTGCTCACTTCTTCCGACCGACGGGTTAGGCGAAAACCCAATCTTCAAAGTCGGGAGACTCGTCATGGGGGGGGATCCCATGGGGGGATAGGATCCGAGGGGGGGGGATCCCATAGGATCCCCTGGGGATCCCATGGAGAGTCCCCCGACAAAGTTGCCCCCAATCTTCAAAGCCGCCCCCAATCTTCAGAGCCGACCCCAGTCTGCATCTGTGTTCGGGCGATTGCGCGCGGCAGCATTGGCGAGAGCTCCGCTGCCGATCTTTTGAGGACGAATGTGCAAGTTGGAAAACGACCCGCCATCAATCCTGGAAGCTATTGCGAATTCCAAGGTTCAGGATCACACGTGGTGAGGTAGTCTTAGGCGAAACGTCCAACCCGCCCAACCGACACGTCGTGGTGTGCGACAGTGAGGAGTTCTTTACGAGGAGCCAGGATGGAGGAGGAGGAGGAGGAGGAGGAGGAGGAGGAGGAGGAGGAGGAGGGCGACGACGAGAGCGAGTAGGGGGAAGGATGGGAAGGAACAGGAGGGGAAGGGCAGTCGAAAGCATGGGCGTGGGAGGATGACGACTGGCTCCGTGCGCCGGGGCCACGCACAGCGGATTAGGATGAGGCGCCGGCCCCAGGCAGGAGGCCGGGAGGGCTCGGGAAGCTCCAGGCTTGTTGAGGCAGGACGGCCTTTGCTTGCGATGTAGTGGCCCGGGGTTCAGCTGATGCGCTTAGTAGGCGGTTGGACAGCCAGCGACCTGGGAAGCACACCTCCCCTTATCTCTCCACTCTCCCCCAGCTCCTTTCCCTGACTTCTCTCCGCATCACCCCCCTGCGGGGCACGCGCGACTCCCGCGCCCGTCGTCGTCGGCCTCTCTGCGTCGCCCTCTGCTCTGCCTGCTGCGTCGTCGTCGCAAGCTCGTCCCCGCTCCCCCCGCTTTGCCCACTGGGCATCCCCCTCCTCCTCGGCTTGCCGCCTCCTTTCTCCTCCCCCTCCTCCCTGACGCTGCCGCTCGTGCTGCTCCTCCCGTCCCCGCCCCTGCCCTCCTCCTCCCGCCTCCTCCTCCTCCTCCTCCTCCCCACCCTCTGCCTCCCCTCTCCTGCTCCTCGTCTTGCCCTCCTCGCCTCTCCTCCTCGTCCCTGCCCCTGCTGCTCCTCGCTGCTCCTCCCTCTCCCTCCACAGTTAAACGGTATGAGTACCACTCTCTTTCCTCCCCTGAGGTTGCCCAGGAGATCTCCCGCCCCCTCCGCATGCAGCTTGTTTACGCACAGTAGTTCAAACGTTTATTTTCCTATGGTTCTCTCGAATCAAACTGTTTCTGGTGTTTCAACATGTTTCTCCCGCTGCAGCCTGGCTCTCATTTCGGATCGGCGCGTTGCTCCCGTCGTTCAGAATGGGTTGCTCCCGTCGTTCAGGATCCGAGTCTTGCTATATTTTTGTGATCCCCCTATCATTCCCCATCCATTGTCTTACCATGGTCCTCCTGTTCGTCCCGCTCTTTCCACTCCAATGCCTGCTGCTCCTGTTCGTTTCGTCCCAGGGCCGGCCACTTTTATGAATCCGAGTCTTTCTTCCTCGTTGTCGTTCCCCATTCCCCCTCCCCCGACTTCCCCTTCCGCTTCAAATCCTGATGCTGCTGCAGTTAGTCCTCATCCTTTTTCTCCAGATGGGCGTGTTTTCTGCCACCACCACCATAAGTTGGAGGGGGTGGGGTCCTCCTCCTCCTCCTCGTCCTCCTCCTCCTCCTCCTCGCCCTCCTCATTGTTCCCCCCTTCAACTTATGGTGGTGGTGGTGGTGGAAAACACGCTCATCATCTCCCGCTCATCCTCCTGCTCACCCGCCCTCTCCTCATCCCGTGCACGCAGCTCCCCTGTCTCCCACTTGCGCACAACACGACGTGGTCTTTTTGTCTGAGCGTCTTCGGTCGGCTATACGACACGCGCCCGCGGGGAGCGAAGACGCAACGCCACGCGAAGGGATGGGATGCGAAGGGGCAGGATACCAGACGAGGCGCGAGCGCCCCTAGCTTGCCCCCCCCCCCTCGCGCTCCCTACCTTTCCGTCCTCCTCCCTCCTTCTCCGCCTCTCCGCCTCCTCCTCCCGTCTGCATTGTCCCTCGTCGTCGTCCTCGTCGTCGTCGTCGTCGTCGTCGTCGTCGTCGTCGATTTTGCACTCCTCCTCCTCCTCGACCCCTCAAGGCTCCGGCCGCCCGGGCGTGCCCGCCCCCGTCCGCCGAGGTCGAGAGCTACTCCGACCCCTCCAGGGATGTGTCGGAGGCGGCGCTGGTCGTGGAGATGCGCGAGGCGAAGCGGAAGGCTCGGCGGGGAATCGAGTCGGCTTTTTGTTTATTTTTTTTTTTTTTTTTTTTTGTCTTTTTTTTTTTGTTTTTTCTTATTTTTTTTTCTTTTTTTTTTTTTTTTTTTTTTTTTTTTATTTTTTTTTATTTTTTTTTTTTTTTTTTTTTTGTTTTTTTTTTGTTTTTTTTTTTTTTTTTTGTTTTTTTTTTTTTTAAAGAGACGGGGGTCAAAGCAAACGGGGGTCAGCCAGGGCACCGGATCCTGCAGGATCCTGCGAAGACCCCCTCTGGCTGACCCGGGTTAGCGAGCCGCTCGTGGCCGCGAGGCTGCCGCGCATACTGGTTGACCCGGGTTGGCGAAGACCTGTGTTGCAGTTTTTTTTGTTTCCTGCATTTCAGTTTTTGGTTTCCTGCTGACCCGGGTCTGGATTGACCCGGGTCAGAAGATCGCCGATCGAGGAAGGAACAACCACATAAGCACAAATTTTGGGCGCTCCGCGCGGATTTCTTGGATCGGCGCTGGGCCCCCCTGGCGGCGTCTTCAGCGCCGCCACTGGCGCGGTCCGCGCGCCGCGGAGGGGCCCGGAGGGGGTCTGGCGCGGATCCAAGAAATCCGCGCGGAGCGCCAAAAGTTTCTGTGTGTGTGTGCGTGTGTGTGTGTGTGTGTGTGTGTGTGTGTGTGTGGTTTTTTGTTCCTCTAGGGACGGGGGCGGGACCCACACTTGCTCGCGCCGCGCAGGAATAAGAGCATTTCCCCCTCGACTTGTCCAGCATCATATGCATTGAGAGACAAGAAGCGTTGGTCCAGAATCGCATGGCCGATGGCAACACAGGATCCGTCATCGGTCGTGTAAGCTATATGGGAAGCGCGCGTATTTCACCATTCACAGGGCAGCAGCACAAGGGCGAGGACTGAGGCCCGAGGCCCGAAGTGGAAACGGGGGAAGGAACGGGGGGAAGAAAACGGCAGAAGAGGGGCCGACACATTCACGCGACAGCAGTGACACGGCGGAAGGAAGACGAGGCCTGCAACGAATGAGGCAGGATGTGAGTTTGCCAGTGGCACGTTGGACAAGCAGCGCGGCCCGCCCCATGTCGTTTTGTCGCTCCACAGGATCCGCTGTTCATAGCTAGTACAAGAAGCCAGCGAAGCCGAGCTCGCCCGCCAGGTTTTCCTTCCTTCCGTCCCTTGCAGTACAGGAGCTAAACGCCCGCGGTCCCCTAGCAGCCTTCGCAAGTGGTGACAGGTTCGTAGTTCGTTCGCAGCCCCCCAGGGATGGCGATGTGTAGTATGAATCTGCGAATGACGCCACTCCGCTGGATCCCCCAGCTTCCCTCGAAAGTGGCGCCCGCTTGGCAGCCCGCAGCCCTCCAGCGATGGCACGGTCCAATCAGAACCTGCGTAATCATGACGTCATTCCGCTGGGCCCCCCAGCAGCCCCAGGGTCTAATGTGTGCTGGCCCCCAAAGAAGCCCGGTAACTTTGCAGTTCGCCCCCCCCCCCCCACCCCCCCCCCCCCCCCCCCCCCCCCCCCCCCCCCCCCCCCCCCCCCCCCCCCCCCCCCCACCCCCCCCCCCCCCCCCCCCCCCCCCCCCCCCCCAGGGACGGCGAGGTTTAATTTGGATTCCCGCCTGGTACCCACTCAGCGGCCCCCCTTTCAACCCTCGAAAGCGGCGGGGATTTCGCAGTGCGCAGCCCCCGGGGACGGCAAGGTCTAATTTGGATTCCCGCCTTGTACCCACCCTGCTGAATTTTGCGGTTCGCAGCCTTCCAGGGATGGTGGGGTCTAATCTGAGTCTGTGCCTGCTACCAACTATGCTGGCCCCCGAGCGCCCCTCGAAAGTGGCTGCAATTTCGTCGTCCCCAGCGAGCCCCAAGGTAGAGCGGAGAGGCAGGAGGAAGAAAGGCAGGAAAGAGAAAGGACGCACGAGAGGAGGAGGGAGGCGGAGGGAGGCGGGAAAAAGAGAAATTGCGACCGCAGTTCTTTCTCAAAAGCGAGAGCCCAGCGCAGGAGGGTCGGGAATCCATGACGGAGCGTTTTCAGCAATTGCGGTTCCCGAGGGGGAGATCGTAGGGGGGGCAGTGGGGTGGAGGAGGACAACATATCACATGACATGGAGGAGGAGGAGGAGGAGGAGGAGGAGGAGGAGGAGGAGGAGGAGGAGGAGGAGGAGGAGGAGGAGGAGGAGGCCGCGTAAACTCGAAGGGATTCTGGCCCTGGGGGCGCGGGCACAGAATGATATGCAAGGGGTCGTGGCCCTGGGGGTGCGGACGCCGCGTGAGCTGCAAGGGATCGCGGCCCTGGGCCCGCGGACGCAGCGCAGATCACGAGGTAAGTTGCAGGGGATTCTTCCCTTGGGGGGCGCGGGCGCAGCGCAGTTTGCGAGGACCTGGCCGAGTCTAGCGTGATCGCGGCCCTGGGCGCGCGGACGCAGCGTCGTCTGCGAGGGATCGCGGGTCGTGGCCCAGTGGAGGGCGGGCGCAGTGTGATTTACGGGAGGCCGTGGTCCGGGGGAGCGCGGTCCCGTCGTGATGGCCTCGTTTCTGGGTCGGGAGCGGGGGGGGGAAGCGCTAGACACGCAGGGGGGGGGGAAGCGCTAGCAAGTCGAGTCTTGTGGAGCAGAGAGATGGGCTTGTCTGGGAGGGGGGCAGGGATGATGAGGTTGAGGGGGACGGGCCTCATCGAGGCCTCTTGGGGACCTCTTGTGCTCCTCTTGAAGCTCTCTTTGGCCATCTTCAGGCCTTAGGAGGGAGGGAGGAGAAGGAGGAGGAGGAGCAGGAGGAGGAGGAGGAGGAGGAGAAGGAGGTGGATGAAGAGGATGATCATGATGATAATGGTGATGACGATCCTGATGACGACGATTCTTCTTGTTATTGTTGACGACGATGATGCTGATACTGATGCTGATGATGCTGCTGAACATGATGCTGGTTTGATGATGGTATGGTGACGGTGCTGGTGCTGATTACGTATGATGATGCTGATGCTGAGGATGAGGTTGAGGATGATGAGGAGGATGAGGCTGCTGTTGATGATGAAGACGACTGATTATGCTGATGATGCTGAGGATGATGGTGATGCTGATGCTGACGATGATGCTGTTGATGATGATGATGATGATGATGATGATGATGATGATGATGCTGATGCTGATGCTGATGCTGATGCTGATGCTGCTGCTGATGGTGATGGTGGTGATGATGATGATGATGATGATGATGATGATGATGATGATGATGATGATGTTGCTGCTGCAGATTATGATGATGATGACGACGATGATGATGCTTATGATGATGCTGCTGACGATGAGACGTGGAGCCCTCTGGGTCCGTGGGGTCTGGGGGTCGATGGTCTGGGGTAGCGGGGATAGCGGGGGGTCTGTCTT